CAATCTGTAGCAGCATTAGTCAGCGTTTGAGGGAAGGCTTTGCACATAACCTGAACTGGCGCAACTTGCAAATTCATGACATCGGTATATACATTGAGATGGATGATTGGGTCGGTCGTCCTATCATATTATTTAATGCAAGGATATTTGAATCTGTCGAACAGGGGATATGACAATATCTCTGGTGTGAATGGAGTGTTAGGGGTAAAACCCGTTGCCCCCCAAGCATTCCGTTGCAGGTCAGTTGTAATTCCTTCTTGAATGATCCGGACAATCTCATCAGAATCCTTAGCAACTGATCTTAAGCCCGAGGCCATATTGCAAATACTTGAGGTCCCTACTCTGCCAATTGTGGGGTTTGGTGGTTGGGCTCGAGCATCAGTCATAAAACCACCATGCTCCGCCTATACTAGTGATGGATGCGAATTTCTTTGACTTAATAGTTACGTTAGCTTGGCTACCTGCTGACATAGCTCTTCAAAGGCTTCAGTTGTGACGAGTGCTGCCTGGGTTATGGGCACTCCTGACGACTCTTCTTGAGGAGCAGGTTGATCTTCAGTAGGTGAGGGACGGAGCGGATGAGCTTGCGGGAGGAAGGCCTGATCGTGTGTTAACCATGGCTTTTGGCAGGGGTTCCTATAGATGGCGCCAATGATGTTACCAAAAATCGTGCCTGCTGATTTTCCGAGCTTGAGGACTTTGAATGAGCACGATCGTAGTCTTCCAGTTCCTGAAACAAAGGCAATGAGATGTGTTCTGGTCGCTTCGCTGATGCTTAAGTCAGAAAGGGAATTATATGCGTGAGACTATGAATTGGAGAATAATGAAAATGTACCTGGACAATGATCATGATCCTGTATTTATAGTAGGTGACATTCTCCTCGTGGGACTCAACTAACTGGGTATCTCTATCCAACGGAGTCCTATTAGGTGAAGGAGTTGGACCAATGCCAAGATTATTTTTAGGATAGAATCATTGCGGGAGTCAAGTATTGAAATAATATGGTAGAGTTAGAGTCCCAACTACATAGGAATCCTATTGGATCAGTAATAACAATCGGGGGATGCGAGGAGAATTTATCCTGAGGACCACTCTTGCTCGAGGATAGGATTGTGGAGATGAGGATACAACAAGGCTGCAAGTGCTCGAGTATTATATCCCGAAGAAGGTAATGCTTGAGCACAACACGTGAAATTGCAAGGGTCTCTGAGAAATGTCCTCGGGGATAAATGTTCAAGCATAACCAAAAATTCCCATATCAGTGACTAATAATTTTGGTAATCTTTAAAAGTATGTTCGGCAAGCGTCAAACAACTTTTAATCCTCATATTTTAAAATTTACTGGTATTGTCCATTTATGCTTTATAAACGCTTGCAAAAAATTAAACAACTTCCTATTTACATAGTTAGCCCTTGTTTGAGCTCTATTCTTTTCATAAGAATGAAATTTTGAATAGCGTATTGATGGGAAATGTGTGGTTAAAAAATTTTGGATTTACGTATAATTTTATTTTACTGAAAAATGTGTAGCTAAAATGATGTCAAAATACTGTTCAAGAATATATATATATATTTTTAAAGAATGAGACTCAAAAGTACAATCCTTTTAGGCTTAAAAGTTCATTATATATTTGACATCGTCCACAATAAATTCAATATTTATTGACCTGATGAATAATTATATGCAATTGTAAAAACTATAATATAAAGGTCAAATAGTAGAACAGTTTCCAAGGGCGGACCTGCATTCAATGTTAAACAAGGCTCTTAGAGAATTATCAAAATACGAATTTTTACGTGGCTTCTATTTAGTTTAATTAAAAAACTGATAAAAATTCAAGTCAAAGTCAATTTTAATCATAAATTTTATGAGGCTTATAATTTTTATCAATATTTTTGATTAATTATATATGTTATCGACTTTTATTAAAATCTAATAAAAAATCAATCTATAAATATCAAATAGTTCATATTGTATTAAGGAATAAAATGAAATATAGGCCCTAACCCAGTCCGCAAGCCCAATAAAAACCAATTTTGGACGTTAACGTCATTATATAAAGAGACCCAGTAGAAAACAAAATTATAAATAATCATGCTACAAATAACGAATATTTTGATTGAAAATCTTTACAAACAAAACATGACACCATATCATTGAAAGAAAGAAAATAATAATAATAATAAAACGAAATTCCAATTGCACACTGCCACATCAGGTTCCAACAAATTCTGTAACGATCATGCTACAAGTACAAAAAAAATTGATTGAAAATTTTGACAAACAATATATGATTGGAATTGATTGAAAGATGAAAAAAGAATAAAGAAAATAATTCAATCATCTGTGACTACGTCAGCGTAGGTAAAATTATGTCAAGAATTCTCGATACTCTTGACTTTTCCCATTCTGTAAATATTTTCCTCAAAATAATGCTACGTAGTCTTATTGAAATTGTAATCCTACTCTAAATGGGATTAAAATAGGTTGGGTTATAATTCAAGGAAGGGTAATTGGCGCAAAACATCCTTACCTTTCGAGGTTATTGTGGAAAACGTCCATACCTTTCATTTTTTGACATTTTTGCCCTTATTTACCAACTTTCTTGCGCTGAAGGTCCTTTTCACTGTTTTTTGACGATTTTGCCCTCTATTCAAATAAAAGAAAAAGAATAGAATAGAAAACAAAAGAATTAATTGCAACTAATACCCCAAAATTTCAAAAAATTACAAATTAGTAATAAATATAGGAGTTAATAGCCCAAATGGTTACTAAACTTTGCCAAAGGTCCAAAAAGGTCATTGAACTTTTTTAAATACAAAAAGAAAAAAAAATCAAAAAAATCAACAAAAAAAATTGAAGAAACGGGCCCCACCAACAAAAAAAAGGACCAAAAATAATAATAATAAAAATAAAATAAGGAATGTGAAAATGGAGGAAGGTGAAAAGTAAACCAAAAATTATTTTTTATTTTTTCAATCGTACATTTTTAATCAAAATTTATTGAAAATTTTATTTTTAGCAAAACTAATCTGTATTTTTTTCTTTATTTTTAAAAATAAAATTTTCAATAAATTTTGATTAAAAATGTACGATTGAAAAAATAAAAAATAATTTTTGGTTTACTTTTCACCTTCCTTATTTTTTTTGTCCTTTTTTTGTTGGTGGGGCCCGTTTCTTCAATTTTTTTGTTGGTTTTGTTGGTTTTTTTTCTTTTTGTATTTAAAAAAGTTCAATGACCTTTTTGGACCTTTGGCAAAGTTTAGTAACCATTTGGGCTATTAACTCCTATATTTATTACTAATTTGTAATTTTTTAAAATTTTGGGGTACTAGTTGCAATTAATTCTTTTGTTTTCTATTCTATTCTTTTTCTTTTATTTGAATAGAGGACAAAATCGTCAAAAAACAGTGAAAAGGACCTTCAGCGCAAGAAAGATGGTAAATAAGGACAAAAATGTCAAAAAATGAAAGATAGAAACGTTTTTCACAATAACTCAAAAGGTAAGAATGTTTTGCGCCAATTAACCACAAGGAACCTAAATAACATTATTGATCTCCGTTTCCATATATAAAAGGAGCAGAAAAGGAGATTCTTTCTCCCCAAATATACCACGTCTCCTCAGGGATTGCTATTTGAGCTCTTTTTGGCAAACTCAGTGGGTGTCCTAATTGAGTCGACTCCTGGAGTTGCACCACCACCATTGCCGGCGTTCTTATTGCCTAATTTAAATATAGTCGATACTCTTCTTTTCAATTTCCCTATTTTTCTAGGTCTTCTAAGGATTCTGCAGTTTTATATTATTAAATTGCGATTGCTATGGAATCGGAGGATGATATGCACGACGCGAGCGAATTGACGTCGGCGGAGGAGGAAGATGATTATTACAGTGGCGGCGATGACGATATTGGCGATGGAGATGCGGAAGAAGACTACAACTATGGGGATGATGATGATAATACTGGTGATTATGACTTCATGCCCAATGACTCTGATGCCGATGAAGTTTCTGCTAGTCGCGCACAGGTTTGAATGTGATTCTAGCAATTATTAACACGCGTTGTCTTGTGCTTGTGGGGGGCTGTGTAATTCCTCGAATTGATTGATAAGAGTCTAATTGATGAATGTAATTTGATAGATAAGAGCTTAACTGTATGTATTGGCTCTCAATTTCTGCCGTTTATCGGTATTGTTAGGAATCTGGTTCTGTGTTATCAGAGTAACGGCTTAGATACTCCTTTGAGAAATTTTAAAAATATAAAAAAAGATTAAAAGATAATTAACAAAAAAGAACACTTGAACTCGTGGAAAACTCCAAAAATTGAAGAAAAACCCCTGGAGGCTCCGCCTTGTGAAAAATTGTCACACTTAGACGTCAAGAACTCCCAAGACTCTTTTCTTCCCTGTATTGGAATCTCTTTTGTTTTATACACCTTTTTGAATTGCCTAAGAACTCCTTTTATAGCCATCTTGCACCTGTCTATTTAACTTGTATTGTGGATGGGACAAAGCCAATTGACATAAGGATGCATTTACTTTTCACATTTAGATAAGAAATAAATGAGAGCGCTCTTGAATGACTTTTATGAATACAATTTAAATTGAGAATTATGAAGGTCAATTCTATATGAACTTTTTGAGGTAGGATGTTTGCCTCTCATCTGAAATAAGTGACTTCTATGAGCAAGTAAATTCATTTATTTTGCTTTGTCTATTTGTATTCTGCTGGAATTATGTGTTAATGTGAATGTTTCAGAAGAATTATACCGTCTTGAAGGAAGAAGACATATGGAAAATTCAAGGGGAAGATATTATGCGAATCTCTAATGTTCTCTCCATTTCAAGAGAAGCAGCATGCATACTATTACACTGCTATAAATGGTAATATATTCGCTTCTTGACTTTTTAACATGGTGGATTGATAATATACCGCATAAAACTTCGGTTCTGGGGTCTGGTTGAGACAATTTCTTTCAACCAACTTGTATATGTACTTTGAGCCTGTGACATGCAAAGTATTGTTTACAGTCTTTCGTGGGACAATATCATCTATTAATTTATTATACAGGAATGTAAATGATGTGCATGAACAATGGTTTGCTGATGAAGGACGAGTCCGTAAATCTGTTGGTTTATTTGAGAAGCCAGTGGTTCAATATTTGAATGCTAGGGAAGTAAGTATTAGGTTCTTGACATTGCATAGTGCATGATCTTCTTTCCACTGTATCACCTTTGCCCACATGTAGTCCGTTCGTGTTTAAAAATTCTCCTGGCAGGTGACTTGTGGGATCTGCTTTGACAACTACTCTCATGAGCTGGTACGGTCTGCAGCGTGTGGCCATCCTTTCTGTGACTCTTGCTGGAAAGGTTTGTCTACAATTTTCTTCGCCTGTGCAATGCTTAAATATGGAGCTACGCAACTACACTCTTCGACCTATGTTTTAAATGAAATCAATTTTGGCTTTAATTATAATTGCTTTATATAACTGTAACTGTGCTACTTATGTTGAGTTTTAGTGGATCTTTCTCTGCATTTATTCACACTGCCAATATGTCCGTTGCATGGAACCTCAAGTAACTGGAGTATATCATTATAGGACTAGTGAATACTCCATCCTACCACCAAACACGTTCTGTGGCCGCTAAAGCTACTTATACTTTGCTGAATGTTGACATTAAGGTTCTCCTTGAGAAGATGATCTCTGAGATTGAAGAATTAAACAATCTTAGTTAGTTTATCTGATAGCTTTGGAGAATTTCTTGACTTGTTACCACTGCCTTTTTCAACTCATAACTCAAATTTTGTGCGTGTCTGAATTTCACCTACCGAATAAGATAATTGAAAGCCTCTCGGTTCTGCCACAAGCAATGTTTGCTCCTAATTTTTAGAAACCACATTAGTAGCCCTTTAGATTTAGGATGGATTGCTTTTTCATCTTTTGACAGCATGATGGCAGATATTTGTAGCTTGATGAGAATATGTCATTTCTAATTAACATAGATTTTTTTGATAATATTAGTTTTAAACAACATCAGTGCTAAATTTCAACGTGTTTTGTTTTATATAAAGATTTCATGGCCAATGACTGATATCAACATGATGAATTTTATGTAGTATCTCTCTCTTATTAGCGATATAGAACTTAGTCAAATACCTTTATGCTTCAATTGAACCAAAAATAAATTCATATTTTTGGGAAATTGTATATACTGCCTTAAATTTTGCGACGTCGGAGCAAAAAGCAACCCAAATCGAACGTGGTCAGAATAAGAAAATTAGTTTATCGAAGTTCATAGTTGATAGGAAATGTGGGTAATCGCTCGATTTTATAGATTTTGTAGTTCCTTAGCTTAGCAAAAATAAATATTGAATTTTTGGTGGTTGACCATGGCAGATGATGATTGGATTTGGAGGGCTTAGAATAATGTCTCCTATGATGGTTTTGCATTTGTGATTGTGTTGGCACTTTTGTTGTAATTAATATTTGGATTGATTCTCTCCTTTCATTTGGGTGAAGTTGAGGCTTTTGTGGTGAAGGTGTTGGTCATGAAAGATCGGGTGGGAGTATGAGGTGTTCTTAAGAAATACGAAACTTTCAAAATGCAATATTTCTACTTTAAACACGCGCCTGAGGTCACACTAAAATCAGGCTTTTGGATATATAGTTGACACTCTTTTAGTTGTGTCTGGACCAATATTAGGAAAGCCTTTACAGGAACATATGTTCGATTGTTTTACAATGGACACGCTGAAGGCATGTGGAATACTCTAAAACATTGTCTTTCTTTAAAGTACATTATTAATCTAAGGCATGAATGAGTAGAAGTAATACATTTGTCAGTCAACATGGTAGGTGAGTAGCTCACACCAGTATAGAAAAAGAGTCTGTACTGAAACCGAGGAGGAGAGGTAGAAGAGAAAGACCACAAATAAAGGCAAAAACAATTCTATTAATTCACCTCGAGTACAGCCCCTTTTATAGGGATAAAATACATACCATATATGCTAAATTTATAAGTTTAAGGAAAGAATATATATTTGCCTGTAATAGACAGATATATATGGAAACAAATAAATCACCAAACAATCTGCAATATTTCTGGAATCTTCAACACTTCCCCTCAAGCTGGGCGGTACAAGTTGAACAACTCCAGCTTGTCCACCATTTTCTCAAACATGGGTTTAAACAACCCTTTGGTCAATAAGTCTGCAACCTGTTCAGAAGAAGGCAAATACACCATGCATATCGTCTCATTTTCTATTTTTTCTTTGATGAAATGTCTATCTACTTCAACATGTTTTGTTCTGTCATGATGAACCGGATTGTGTGACATTGTAATTGCTGCCTTGTTATCACAATGAACTTTCATAGGTTCATTTTGTTGAATGCCAAGTTCCTCCAATAGTAACTTTAACCACGTTATTTCACAAATTCCATGGGCTAATGCCCTAAATTCAGTTTCAACACTGCTTCTAGCTACAACTTGTTGTTTCTTACTTCTCCAGGTAACCAGATTTCCCCATACAAAGGTACAATATCCTGTTGTAGATCTCCTGTCCATTACTGACCCTGCCCAATCAGCATCTGTGAATGTTTCAATAGATCTTCCAGAATTCTTTCTAAAGAATAGTCTAAGTCCCGGAGTCCCTTTAAGATTCCTCAAGATTTGGTAGACAGCCTCCATATGCTCATTAAATGGAGCATGCATGAATTGACTTACGACGCTAACTGCAAAGGTAATGTCAGGCCTCGTGTGTGACAAATAAATTAGCTTTCCTACAAGGCGCTGATATCTCCCTTTATCAACTGGTGTACTTCCTAAACAGTCTCCCAATTTATGATTAGGATTTATAGGAACATCTGCTGGTTTGCTTCCCAACATGCCAGTTTCCTCTAAGAAATCCAAGACATTTTCTCTGTGAAATGGAAATTCCGCTTCTGTTTCTTGTAACCTCTAGGCCAAGGAAGTATCGTAGGGGGCCTAAGTCTTTTATTTCGAACTTAGCAGAAAGAGCTTTCTTCAGCCTCTCCATCTCCTCATAATTGTTGCCTATCAAAACTATATCATCCACATAAACAATTAGGATAGTAATTTTTTCACCTGACTTTCTGTAGAATAGAGTATGATCAGATTGAGCTTGCTTATACCTTTGCTGACACACAGCCTTCATAAACTTTTCAAACCATGCTCGTGGGGATTGCTTCAGCCCATATAGGGATTTGTTTAGTTTACAGACATTTCCTTGGATCTTAGCTGCATCAAACCCAGGTGGGAGTTCCATATACACTTCTTCTTTCAGGTCACCATTCAAAAAAGCATTTTTTACATCTAGTTGTTGGAGTTCCGATCTAAGTTTGCTGCTAGTGACAGTAAAACTCTTACCGTGTTTAATTTTGCGACCGGAGCAAAAGTTTCCTGGTAGTCTACTC